ACACTTAGGTATGGTTGAGAGAGAGAGAGAGAGAGAGAGAGAGAGAGAGAGAGAGAGGAAGTTGGGGTATATGGGGTGTGTGTATAGATGTACTAGGGTTAATTATTAAGTTGGATGACCTTTTTTTGTCTTTTTACATAATAATAAAACTTACAGCTTAATGATTTAAGTATTGGGGTGAACAAAGAGAAGTGCGGGGTTTAAATAGAAAATCTCTATTTTTATTATTGTTTTAAACTACTAAGTAAGACTCTCAATAAATATCACACATGACCCTTTACTTTTATTTTTAATTTTATTTTGTTATGAGGACTTTTAATTTTATTTTGTTATGAGGACTTTTATTTTTATTTTTATTTGCATATGCCTATATAAATGGACATTTTTTTTTTATGCCCCTCTCAATTGTGGGCCCCGGGCAATGCCCTAGTTGCCCTGGCCAAGGGCCGGGCCGGGTCAACACTGGTGATTACTCAAATTGCCTTGTATAATTTTTCCACAAGCATGGCCACTTAAAAAAGTCTGTCCGGTCCATTTTTGTCCGGCATGTGATCAAAACAAAAGTTCAACGTAATCAATTAGCTAGATAATTGATAATTGCAAGCACTAATTATAATTTTATTATATAATTGAACATAAGAAACTGAACAACTGAACCAGAGCCCCCAGGAGAGGGTAGGAAACCGCTTTCCTGGTCGCTCCAGAACGCTTTCTGGACAAGAGCCCCAAGAAGAAAGAACTGAACAAGAGCTCCAGCAAAACGAAAATAATGATGAGGAAAATACTAATAATGATGAAAGCAACGAGACCTTCAACATTAATGAGAATAATTTCTTCGCAATTGAAAGCACAGATGTTGGGATTCACGATGCTTACAACGAAGAAGGTGGAGGAGATGTTGATGTTCATCAACCAAGGAGGGGTCGAAACCACAACATTTGTGGCAATACATTTTTTGCAAAGAAAGGCGAGCGTGTTGGGATTAGCAAAGTTGGCAACAAGTACAACAACAACTCGAGCCTACCATTTCTTCTTGGTCTTCTTGTTCTTCTTGTTATTGCTTCTTCTTTTTTCTTTTATATATCAATGGAGAGTAAGCAAAACAAAAAATGAAGCAAGCGGCTTCAGTGAAAAAAAAACAGGACGACCAAGAAGAACAAAAATAAATAGTTGGCGGAAAACTAGATTTTATGGGGCAGGTCAAGACTTGACCACATGTTATGGGGCAGGAAAAACTAGATTTATGTATGGACTTGTTTTGTGGCAATCAATAAGTCAGATTTCTTCGTTATTAGTTCTTTCTCATGCTCAGAATTAAGCTTTCAGATGTTCATGGCATTCGAATGGGGGAAAGTTTACTGATGATTTTGATCAAGACCCACATGACTTCGGGGTTCATAATCCCTACTTTTCTCATGTAGAAGGTATTTTTCATGCTGAAAATCAATATATTAAATTCCACAGATCGACCCAAGAGACCAGATTCTAAACTCCAATACTGTAACTAACCACATTCAAATAGTAGACACTACAAAGAAACAAAGACATGGACTATAAAATGGAAATGAACTCCAGCCTCTTTCTTTATTCAGCAACACAGCTTTCCTTACTTTCTCTCTTGTTTATTTTTACCAAAGCTTATACCATGGCTTCTTGCTCGTTCCTTCTTCTTCACTCGAGCTTCTTGCTTCGTCTTTCCTCGAGTTGTAGTACATGTTGCCAAATTTAATTAAGTACAGCTTCTTGCTTCGTCTTTCCTCTTTTGAATCAATCTTGTTGCCTTCAATGTTGTAGTCAGTTTTGTTTTTACCCTTCCTTCCTTATTTTATTTTTATTAAATATACTCGCACAGTCGAGATTTGAAAAAAAAATTGAAAATCTTGAACCTTTCACCACGCACACAAAGTCCTTTTTTACAAGACTTTTCCAAGTCTTTTTTTTTTTTTTTTTTTTTTTCTGGGAAGACTTTTCCACACATATTTGAAGATCTTTCCATTTTTATCTTTGCATATACATAAGATGGGTCTCGATCTCGATCTGAAACTGAACAACTAAACCAAAGCCCCCAGGAGAGGGTAAGAAACCGCTTTCCTGGTCGCTCCAGAACGCTTTCTGGACAAGAGCTCCAAGAAGAAAGAACTGAACAAGAGCTCCAACAAAATGAAAATAGAGAGGCAGAAAATACTGATGAAAGCAACGAGACCAACAACATGAATGAGAATTATTTCTCTGCAATTGACAGCACAGATGTTGGGATTCACCATGCTTACAACGAAGAAGGCGGAGGTGGTGATCAAGCAATGATGGGGAGAAACCACAACATTTCTCACAATAGATTTTATGCAAAAAACAGCCGTCAGGTTGGGATTAGCAACGTTGGCAACAAGAACTACAACAAGTCGAGCGTACCATTTCTTCTTGGTCTTCTTATTCTTCTTGTTCTAGCTTTATTTTTATTTTTTTTCTCTTTTTATATATTAACGGTGAGTAAGCAAAACAAAAAATAAAGCAAGTGCCTTGAGTGAAAAAGAAGGCACGACCGAGAAGAAAAAGAAGAAGAAGACAAAAATCAATAAGTGAGAAAGAAAGGTTCAGCTTGGAGTTTCTCGTACTATTACTTAGCGGAAGGGTTTGGAGATGTATGGCCACCAAAGCTCCTATACTCAAACTTTTCTTTGCGTTCCTTTCTCTGAATCTGAATCTTATTTCTCTTATATATTTATGTATTTCTTCTTCTTCTACATACCATAAGTATATTGATATATGAGTATTATTTCTTTTTCTTCTTGTGTACATGCCATAAGTATTATTTCTTCTTGTTCTAGCCTTTTTCTTTCATAGCCACTGAAGTATATCAGGGTGAGAGTAAGCAAAATGAAAAAGAGAGAAAATCTAAACAGAGAAAGCAACCAAAAAAAAAAAGGAGATTAAGAAATGTTTAAAGTCTTGAAGCACATCATTAATTTGTGTAAGACAATCAGTAGCGTAATTATATACAGAAACTGTGTGTTTGAGCCAGGCTTTCCAAGTCAAATGACCTTTTCTAATTTTGTTCATGAACTTTTTCTAAAAGGAAAACATGTTGGCATGTTACCTTACTACCAGCATTGCTTGAATTAAATTAATGATTGACAGATATAAGAAAAATTAAATTTGAGAGTTGGAGTTAGGGTTTGGATAAAAAAAAAATGACAAACATGTAGAGAGAGACAGACATATACTTGGCTGGCCAGGTCAAGAACGATTTTAAAAAGAAGAGAATCAGAACCGTTTATCGCAATCGCAACAATTGGGTGATGTGGATCCGACAATCCCCCGACCTCCAAGCATGGGGCCCTGTTTAACGTTCCAGATTGGCTGGCACCCGCACCACCATAAGCCTTCAAACCCATTCCCTCCTCACCCCCATATGAACAGATGCGCAGTGGGCCCATTTTGCAATTTCACAACTTTATTATGTTTAATAAATTAACAATATTCCATGTGTATATCTTCTTTCGCTATAAAAATCTAGTCAAGTGAAAAAATCATTGAGATGTGTATATATTCTCTCGATACTGGTTCAGAGTAGTCAGTCTCTCCTTAAACTTTTTATTTTTATTTTTTAAAAAAGAAACTGAAATAGACATTTTTGTCATGGCAAAAATTTAAAATAAATAACATTGTGCCATCATTCAGATTAAGCTCCAATCAAGGAAAGTGGGTAAGCCACAAATGATTTTTGGTTAGATTAATGATTGACAGATATAAGAAAAATTAAATTTAACGTCTAAATAAATAATTACTCATACATGAATAAAAGAAGGCAAAAGGTCATTTTTGGTCTCTGTAGTTTGTCATTTTTACCACTTTAGTACCTGTCGTTTCAATTTAGTTAATTTTTTCCCTGTGATTTTAATTTGAAACAATTCAAGGGCAATTCTCAATTTCTGTCAATTTCTTTTAACTTCTGTTACTTGTGGATGGGCAATTTGGTCAATAAATTATTAAATAAATTAATTCCTTTTAAAAATAAAAATTATTGTCCTAAAAATAAAACCTTTCTCTTTCCTTTTCCCAACCCAACGCCTTTCCCAACAGTAACCACCCACTCCCAATGCCCGCACAGAGTCCCCCGCCAGCCACCACCTCCATATAACCCAACCACCACCCCAGCAACCCAAGCCCGCCCAACCCCAAACAACTCTGATGATGCAAACCAATACTTGTTTTCGATTGGCTTAACTAAGACTAGAGAGGCAGGGGATTTTTTCTTTTTGTGTTCTTTCTGATCTACTGAAGTTTTGTTTTGTTTTCTATTGGCTCAAATCCCAGAGATCTGATCTGCTGAAGTTTTCATTGCCACCAACCCAAATCGATTAAGCTTTCCCAAGAAATTTCAAATTTTTTAACCCCATTTTCTCCAACTTTTGTCAAGGATGCAAGCAAAATGTGGGGCCTTGACATGGATATTGATGTGAAGACAACACCGGGTTTCTGCCCTCCTGATAATTTTGATTCATCAGAGTTGTTTAGGCTTGGGTGGTGGTTGGGTTACATAGAGGTGGTGGTTGGGTGCGGTTGGGTGGAGACTGTGTGTGGGTTACAGAAGGAAGAAGATGATTTCAATTTCAATTTCGTTGCCCAATTTGACGAGCTAGGTCTGATCGGCATCGCAGGACTTGGGGTGGGTGGGGGAGCTCGGAGGAGAAATGGACGGAGAGAGAGAGAGAGAGAGACGAAGAGAGGGAGGGGTTGGGGGGGGTGCGGCTGTGCATCGGCAAGAGGGGTGGGAATTGGGATTTGGTATTCTAATAATTTGTGGACTGAATTGCCCTTCTACAAGTAACAGAGGTTAAAAGAAATTGACAGAAATTGAAAATTGTCCTTAAGATGTTTTCAAATTGAAACCACAGATACAAAATTGACCAAATTGTTTTCAAATTGAAACCACAGATACAAAATTGACCAAATTGAAACGACAGGGATCAAAGTAGTAAAAGTAGCAAATTACAAGGACCAAAAGTAACTTTTTACCATAGAAGAAACGTCGTCAGATCAGTTCTGGTAATAAACTGCCATACAACAAACCAAGGAGAGCAACGAAAAATAAAATAAAATAAAATAAAAAAGAAAGAAAGAAAGAAGCAGAACTAGAGCAAAGTGCTCCACCCAACAAACATGGAAATGAACTCCAGCCTCTTTCTTTATTCAGCAGCGCAGCTCCCTTACTTTCTCTCCTGTTTATTTTTACCAAAACTTATACCATGGCTTCTTGCTCGTTCCTTCTTCTTTCCTCGAGTTGTAGTACTTGTTGCCAAATTTTCCGATCCCAACAAACTCCCCCTCGTTTGAATCAATCTTGTTGCCATCAATATTGTAGTCAGTTTTGTTTTGACCCTTACCTCCTTGATGATGATCAACAGCACCACCTTCATGATATTCGTTGCTGAAGTCGAAAATCCCAACGTTTCTGCTTTTTTCTGCTGCGGTAATTACATTCTCACGAATGTTCCAGGTCTGGTTATTACTATTTTCTGCCTCACTAGTTCTGTCTTGCGGGAGCTCTGATTCAGTTTCTTTTTGTGGGGGCACGGTTTCAGTTTCTTTTTGTGGGAGCTCTGTTTGAGTTTCAGAAAGTGTTCTAGAGGAACCAGTAAAGGGTTTTGTTGCCATCTCCTTGTGCAGGTATTCAGCTTCATTTGGAGACCCATCTTGTTCTTGTATAGAGGTAAGGATAAAAATGGAAATAACAAATAAAAAAAGTCCTGATAATAATCAACTTGGATTAGTATAGTCAAGTCTCAAAAGGTATTTTATGTGGGTGGAAAAATTTCGTTTTTCCTATTGGGGTTCATGTTTCTTTCACATGATGGGACATAAAAAAATTTGTAAATCCAAATTGAAATGGTGAAGGCAGCTACTAATATTAAATAAATTATCATTAGAAAAAGGTAATCACATGATGACAAATGCTAATTAATTATGTAAACTTTCTTAATCATAAACAATTAAAAATACTAACCCCATCTAATTTCTATTGTTATCATGAAGCGCAATTGTTAAACAGGTTCACACCCACAGGGAGATAATAGTCAACTCGGGCACAATGGACCCACGTGCTCTGACAATTGGTTGCTTTATCTTTCGGCCATGTCTATCTATTATCTAAAGAAAAAGAGTTTTGTTTGGCTTCACTTACAATTAGAAACTGTAGCAACTTTTTGTGGCACACAAGCAGCCAATTATCGATACCTCCAGACAAGGGTTCCAGACGTTGAAAATGTCTACCGGCCGGCTATATCTGAAGCCTCCGCTTGGTGATCAGAAACAAGGTTCTGAGGATTCTTCTAAGGCGAACACCGACCAACAAAACAGCAACAGCTCGAAATCCCCATCAGTGAGCACCAAAACTCTCCAACCCAAGAAAAAAGACAAGGGCGGAAGAGGCAATGACTTCAACATCGTTGGGAATAATATTACGGGGATAAAATCGGAGAGAGTAGGAATTTTTGAGGTTGGCAACACCCACATCTATAAAGGCCAAGGGAAAGAGAAACCAGTCGACTCCGGTGCTGATGAAGACGAAGCAGTGAACTGATGACTGACTGAGATCTGTAGCTAGCTAGGGCCTCCCCTCCATCCATCTTACTTATATGTAATGTTAATGTGATGAGTAAAATAAAAGGATTCCCCTTTTCTCCACTTTGATTCATTTTTATTTTTTAATATTTTTTTAATCACTTTTGTTCTTTCTCTTTTCTATTCTACTCTTATCTTATTTCCATCCATTTTACTTATATGTAATATTAATGTGATGAGTAAAATAAAGAGACTCCCCTTTTCTCCACTTTCATTTCTTTTTATTTTTTAATATCTTTTTAATCACTTTTATTCTTTTTCTTTTCTATTCTACTCTTATCTTATTTCACTTTTATATTATTTCTTTTTCTTTATTATTTAATTTTTCACCGCGATTGAATGAAGATAATGCTTATAATTCTCCTTCAACTATATAAGCCTTCATAAACTGTTTGTTTTTAAGATTCCAAAAAGAGTTATGCCAAAATAAAAAGGGACACGTACGTAATGCCAAGACACAGCAATGTTACAGTTCAAACTTTTTATTTTTTGGGTCTGAATCTTGTTCAAACTTGAATTCATGGTGAAATGATCACAACTTGAAAAGCAAGAGCAGTATATGCACATGGTAGGACCACCACTAACCTAACGTAAACCCAAACACACGCAACTTGAAACAATAATTAAGTACCACTAAGATTCCCACCCTCACCCACTCTCTCATATTTTACTAGCCGACCGACCGACCACCTCACCCACTCTCATCTTCTTGTAGCACACCACCTCCCCCACCATGTAGCCTTACAATAGTTTAATAATGAATTTTTATTTTAATACATATCATAAGTATAGAAAATATTTTTATAGAAAATTAAGGTGGTTAGGCTTTACTTTATTATCAGGGAAATAATTATTTCCACGTGAAAAATTTTAGGTTTTGAAAAAATAAAATGAACTATACTTTCTTCGAGGGCGTTTCAGTAATAAAACATTTCTCAATTCTGAAATATATTAGGAATTCAAGCTTGTACAGAATGACTAGTTTCATGTTGAATTTGTTGGAAAATCTTGGTTGTGGATGCTCTCCTTTGATCACGAATAGTAGGTTGAGGCGTGTAAGTCATTGTCCTTAAGAGTAGATCTGCCCATTTGAGATAATATCTCGGTGTAGCAGGTTATGATGTCCTACCCTCAACGATAAAAGAACATTTGATCCTTGTAAACGTACACTCGCAATACTTGGATGCTCTCCTTTGATCAAGAATTCTTGTTCATACAAATACATTACCCGTGTGGTAACTAACCTAAACACATATTAAAACGTCATAATAATATACCGAATTTAAAAAAACTAAAATCAAAAGGGTTCTTCTTGTTCTTGCTTTTTTTTTTTTTTTTTTT